TCCGGAGGCATTGGAGCACGTGCGCAAGCTCACTGATGTGGGAGCCATGACTCGTCTTCTCCATGAATGCATCGCCTACCAACGGGCCATAGATCTCGAACTGGAGACCGTTCTTTCCCAGCGCTCCGATCTCGACAAACAGCTTTCCGGCTTGCAAAAATCCGCTCATGTTCTCGACATTGTGAAGGCGGATTCCGATCACCTCCTCTCCAACGTTGGCTCTACTTCCCTCCTTGCCGATCAGGTCAGTGCCAAGGTCCGCCAGCTCGATCTCGCCCAATCTCGCGTCAATGATACCCTCCTTCGCATCGACGCCATTGTCCACCGCTCCAACTGCCTCGACGGTGTCCACAAAGCCCTCGATTCTGAGGATTTTGAATCCGCTGCCAACTACATTCAGTCCTTCCTCCAGATCGACGCCAAGTACAGAGATTCCTCCGGTTCCGAACAGAGAGAGCAACTCCTCGCCTCCAAGAAGCAGCTCGAAGCCATTGTCCGCCGGAGACTGTCTGCTGCGGTTGATCAGCGGGACCACCCTACTGTTCTACGATTCATCCGTCTCTACACACCGCTGGGACTGGAGGAGGAAGGCCTGCAGGTGTACGTGGGCTATCTGAAGAAGGTTATTGCGATGAGATCTCGACTCGAATTTGAACAATTAGTGGACAGTATGAGCGACCTCAACCAGCAAGCGCAACCCCCGAATCAAAATCCGCTTAATTTTGTGGCTTCGTTGACAAATCTTTTCAAAGACATTGTATTGGCTATAGAAGAAAATGATGAAATTTTGAGGAGCTTATGCGGAGAGGATGCCATTGTTTATGCCATTTGCGAGCTCCAAGAAGAGTGCGACTCTCGGGGTTCCATGATTTTGAAGAAGTACATGGAATATAGAAAATTAGCCATATTGACTTCAGAGATTAATTCTTACAAGAGCAATCTGCTTTCAGTGGGAGTTGAAGGGCCAGACCCTAGGGAGATAGAAGTATATTTGGAGGAGATATTGTCTTTGGCTCAGTTGGGTGAGGATTACACAGAGTACATGGTTTCAAAGATTAGTGGTTTGACTTCTGTTGATCCTGAACTAGGTCCTCGAGCCACCAAAGCTTTTAGGAGTGGTACTTTCAGTAAAATTGTTCAGGACATCACTGGTTATTATGTTATATTGGAGGGGTACTTCATGGTTGAAAATGTTAGGAAAGCTATAAAGATAGATGAGCATGTGCTTGATTCTCTCACGACTTCCATGGTGGACGATGTATTCTATGTTCTTCAGAGTTGTTGCCAAAGATCTATATCTACTTCAAATATCAACTCTGTGATTGCTGTTTTAAGCAGCGCGGTGAGTTTGTTGGGTGGCGAGTACAATGAGGCTTTGCAGCAGAAGACTAGGGAGCCTAATCTTGGTGCAAAGTTGTTCTTGGGTGGAGTTGGTGTGCAAAAGACTGGTACAGAGATTGCCACAGCTTTGAACAACATGGATGTGAGTAGTGAGTATGTGCTAAAACTACGCCATGAGATTGAAGAGCAATGCACAGAGGTAAGTGTTTGTGTCCACCTCCCTTGATTTCATTCAGTGGCTGCCTTGATTTTCTCCTTATGAAATAACTTGTATAATCTAGGAACCTAGCACCTATCTTTCCTTTAATATGAAATGAATCAGGTATCATTGCTCTTGCTCAGAATTACCAAACACAAAATGGCCCTTTTCGCAGTTATGGTAGAAACAATCTAACTAGCCACAGTTACACTCCTGCTGCAACCAATTCCTCCAACTACAGTCAGTACCTCGACAGCAGTTTTAGGCATTTAGGAAACCAAGATATCTCAAATGACTTACTTAAAGATTTTAGGGAGTATAACTACAATTATCTTCTTCAAAGCGAAGAAAGTTTTCATCTTCTTCATGGGGAAATAATGGGTGGTACAGTCAGCAAACCAATGCTTGTAATATGCTTCCACCAGGACAACAAAGTACAGATAATAATGCTCTCCCCAGGAATCAGAGAGTGTTTGATAACATCAGCTCAGGCCACAATAATAATTCAGCCATTACTACAACTGTTAATACTAGTAATGTGCCTTATTCCAATGGGTATACTTCTGCTTCCTTCAAGTGTAATCAAAAGTTATTTATACAGTAAAGCTGTATTTCAATACTAATAGTGAATTAATCAAGTCTCATGTCCAAATGGATCATAGCTTGCAGTATGAACATCGATTGAAATGTTAAGTTTATTCCTTGGTCAGTCTCGCTGCATACTGAGATAGGCTAAATAAGTCAAATACTTTTGGTGCTATTTATTTACAGCATGTTGTTGGGATCTCAGACTTCAGAGTTGGATTTGACATTTTATACAAGAGGATTAGCACCACTTTAGGGTTTTTTTTTTTTTTTTTTTTTTTTTTTTTTTTTTTATAAATGGAGAAACAGGTAAGAGGCTAAAAAGGGATTAGGGGCACAGAAACCAAATAAAATAGAGACCAAATAAAGTGGTCAATTCTCCAAAGTAATTGAAATGCTTAACAACTAAAGTGGTTGAATGGGATTGTATAGTCCTTATGCCAGGGGTTGATAAGTTGAACTCCATATATTATCTGCTAGTTTTGGGGGATAGATGGACATTGCAGTGAGTTTATAATAAAACTGTTTAAGTGCTTATAAGTGTACTGGTTTCTTCTGGTCTCAATAATTGGAACTATTTCATGGAAAGGTCAGTTTGTGTTTCTTGCTATGTCAGACTTCCATGGCTTAAACTTGAGACCTGATTAAGACTTACTAATTTTGGCTTCTGACTAGATATACGATTATGTGTGGACCTGGTGGCAATGGTTTTTAGTATGTTGGAAGTGTTTTTTGGTTATGTCAATGCTATAGTGTCAATGATATGTGTGTTAACATATATGAATAAGGGCATTTAGCGCTCTTCAAGTTGGTATTATCAGTATTGGTATACATCATTTTGTTAATAAAATTTTATGATATTCTTGTTGTTTTTCAAATAATTGTACATCACATCTTTCCATTTATTATGCTGCACTTATTAAAATTGCTCTATTTTCAATGACCTTTCATACAAAATGATTACTTGAAATATCCTAATAAATTCAGTTATTGTCTAACATATTAATGAGAGTGAATTTATTTTCACCAGGCATTTCCTGCTCCAGCCCATAGAGAGAGAGTTAAATCTTGCGTATCTGAATTGAATGAAATGAGCAATAGTTTCAAGAAAGCCTTGAATGTTGGAATGGAACAACTTGTGGCTACAGTGACACCTCGAATTCGACCAGTGTTAGATAGTGTAGCAACCATCAGCTATGAACTCTCTGAGACAGAATATGCTGATAATGAGGTGAATGACCCATGGGTTCAAAGGCTTCTTCATGGTGTAGAGAGCAATGTAGCCTGGCTCCAGCCTTTAATGACTGCCAATAATTATGATACATTCATACATTTGGTGATTGACTTTATTGTTAAAAGGCTGGAAGTGATAATGTTGCAAAAGAGATTCAGTCAACTTGGAGGCCTGCAACTTGACAGAGATGTTCGGGCACTGGTGAGTCATTTCTCTGGCATGACCCAGAGGACTGTTAGGGACAAATTCGCTAGACTTACCCAGATGGCGACTATACTGAATTTAGAGAAGGTCTCAGAGATTCTGGATTTCTGGGGTGAAAACTCAGGACCCATGACATGGAGACTAACTCCAGCTGAGGTCAGAAGAGTGTTGGGACTAAGGGTTGACTTTAAGCCTGAAGCAATTTCTGCTCTCAAATTATAATAGCTCCTTTGCTATGGCTTCTTCATTCAATTTATTTTAAAGAGGCAAGGATGGATGGGAAATCAAAGGAAATGTAGTGACATTTGTCTCTTTTTAAAAAAAAAAAAAAAATCTTGTGCGGAAAGTCCAATATCTTAGACTAAATGAGGAATGATTTATCTTGAATCATCTTTTTGTTTACAGTATTTGTTTGTATTATGGTTTATAGATGACTGGATTTTTAATCAAATTTTGATTACAGTATTTGTTTTGTATGTATTATGCTCTTATAGATTACAGTATTTGTTTTGTATGTGCATCTTCAAAGGAGGTCTTTTCGCAGTTTTTGGGAAAAGAAAAAAATTGTTGAAAAGCCTTACAACATCTTTAATTTTAATTGTGCACTTGTAGAGTTCTTTAGTTGTGCTTTTAAATATCATAATGTGTACTTTTAGAATTTATGTTGTTTATATTAAGAGTTTCTATTATACATATTTAGAGTTTTTTAATATCACTTTTAAATAAGATATTATGCACTTTTAGTATTCAAATTGTGTTATTTTTAGAGTTGTTGAAATGCAGTTTAAAATATCCTATTTGCGGGATTGCATTTTTAGATATGAAATTGGTTTTTCATTTCTTTGTTTAATTTATTGATGTTAATGCATATTGAAGAAATTTGAATGTTAGGTCTAAGTGGGTTGGGTTTAAGATTAAGAAGTTGAATCCCTCTCTCAGCTAGCTATTGGGTAGGAATTTTTATTTTTATTGTTTCAAGCTTTCAGCTACCTACCTCTTTTCTTTTGCATGTATCATATAATAAACAATATTCCTAATGTGGATGATCCAATTCATTCACTCTGTAGGCACTTGCCAATCAACATCAACAGAGACCTATATAATATAATTAAATCTTGAAAATCAAAATGGAGTAAAGAAGAGATGGTCCAACTTAATTAGATATGTAAGGGATTCAAGTTATAAGGTATTTTGGTGAAGCACAGCACTTCTAATATAAATGAACTTAATCAGAGATATATTAGATTCAAGTTATCAAAGCCATTTTGGTGAAGCACACTTGATTGGTCTTGTACATAATACTGTAGTAGTTTTGAGTTTTGAAGAATTAGCACCTTTGGTCAATTTGTGCCTACTTCTCAACAACACCAATTAACCAAAACCAAAACCAAAACCAAAACCAAAACCAAAATATAGTTCACCTGACCTCATACTCAATTTAACCTTCAACAATCTTTTAATATTGCCTCAACTAACAAATACAGGAAAAGCAAACCCCTTCAGGATTACCCATTCATCCAAATAATGCAGCAGCAGCAACAGCAGGAGGAAAGAACAACAAAATCTGTAAACAAAATGTGCACAAGCAAAAATAATAATAATAATAACTCACAATACATAAGATAATAAATTCTTCTGATATAAACTGAATAATGCATATGAAGCTCTCTATTATCAGCAACTAGATATAAATACCCAAGGCAATGTTATCTAGATTAAGAGAGAAGCAGCAAGCAGCGAGAGTTAAACTTGTGCAGTGCCCTCGGTGAACTTAGGATCCTCACATCGGTACCTCCCATCAGGTCCAATTCCAAAGCCCCTTGGATCAGCAAATACGTTTTCTAGAAGCTGAGTTCGAGCAGGAACAGGGCTTTCATCAGCAAACTCAACAGACTCTTCAACTATCTCGTCAATTTTTTTCTCAATAGCCTTCAATTCCTCTTCAGTTGCAAGCTTGTTATCAAATAAGTACTTTTTCAATGCAGCGATGGGATCACGAGCTGCATAGTGACTCTTCTCAGCTGCCAAATTGAATACGCATTTGAGTTCACAATCATAAAACTATACAACCTTATATATAAATGGATTGAAAATAAATATATATCTTTGGTTAATACAAAGTTTGAAGCTGAAAAAACTCAAAGCATTTTCAAGGACAGGTGAAAATAGTTATATCTATATTTAAAAAGATAGCTAAAAAGGAAAAGGCTTTCAATTGCAACAGTGAGTTTAACTCAGTACTTGAAGATGAAGCAGCCCCAAAAATAATCTAACAGATAAAGTAAGTAAATATGATTCATAATGAAACGAAAGAGATAAATGTGATCCTTACAAGGGTCACGAAGCTCATCTGGATCGGCCAAAGAGTGTCCTCTGAACCTGTAAGTCTCGCATTCAACCAAAGTCGGGCCTTCCCCTCTCCTAGCTCTGCCAATAGCCTCCTGAGCTACTTCCCGAACCTTCAAGACATCCATTCCATCAACATGTACACCAGGCATACCAAAAGCAGGACCCTTTTTCCAAATTTCAGGGTCAGAAGTAGCCCTCAAGTGGGACATACCAATGGCCCAAAGATTGTTCTCAACAACAAACACAATAGGCAATTTCCACAATGCAGCCATGTTCAAGCACTCATAGAATTGACCATTATTGCAAGTCCCATCCCCGAAAAAAGCAAGTGTGACGTGATCACAATCTTCCTTGTAAACCTCCCTCCTATACTTAGAAGAGAAAGCAGCACCAGTAGCCACTGGAATGCCCTCCCCAATGAAAGCAAAACCACCAAGCACATTGTGCTCTTTAGAAAACATGTGCATAGAGCCACCCTGACCTCTGCAACAACCCGTGGTCTTACCAAAGAGTTCACTCATCACTTCACGAGCTGACACACCCTTGCTCAATGCATGGACATGATCACGGTAAGTGCTAACCACAGTGTCTTCCTTCTTCAGGAGTTTGATGAAGCCAGTAGAAACTGCTTCCTGGCCATTGTACAAGTGCACAAAACCAAACATTTTGCCTCTGTAGTACATCTGGGCACACATATCCTCAAATGCCCTCCCCAGAATCATATCTTCGTACAACACCAAACCTTCCTGCTTGGTAATTAGCTGCAGTGGCAGGGAGGGACACATAAGTCAATATTATTTAATTAAATTAAATTAATTTTACCCAATTTGTGTACTTAGAATCAATTTAGAGAAAGCATAAATTTAAGAAATTAAGTAAAGATTCAGCGTATGGAAAGAAAGGGGAGAAAAGAGAAATACCAGATTGGAGGCAGAGGAGGCAGATTTGAGCTTGTTTTCCTTGACAACATCGGAGACGGCGAGGATACGGGTGGATCTGCGGTGAGAGTGAGGAGATGCAGAGAAGTTGTTGATGAGGGGAAGCTTGTGGGAAGATGAGCCTCCGAGAAAGGAGGAGGCGGAGAAGAGGGGTTTTTCAGCAGATCTGGTGGAGTGGAGGGGCATAGAAGAAGGAGTGTGCACCAATTTGGCCAAAGAGAAAGACGAAGCCATTGCACTTGATCTTCGTCTTCGTCTTCGTCTTCGTCTTCGTCTTCAAGGGCAATAGAATACAACAGCACAGTACAGCAGCCGAAGCTGTAGAAGACAGAGAAAGAGAGTGAAACAGATTGAAGAGAGAAAAGTGGAAATGGAAGAATATAAAGGAGCGGAAAAAGGGAAGAGTTAGGAGAGGAAGCGGAGAAAACGAAGAAACACTCTGGGAATAACCGCCCAAAGCGTTGGGAGTTGCTATCAATTATTTGCCCCAATTCCTATAATTAAACCTTTCCTTCATTCAATTTCTTTGATTTTCATTACTAGTATGCTCAAGGTTAGCTTTCCATGAAAACCCCTTTTTGTGATTTTAGTCGACAAAAGAAAATGGACGAAAAGCATTGTAATTTTAGTCAACAAAAGAAAAAAAATGTTTTATGATCCGTTTTAAGTCGTTTATAACTGATCGATTCAAACTAAGAAAGTCAATATATAATTTTTACGATGATTAAACCAATTATGACAAGACCTTGTGGTCTAATGGTACCAAGGTTATAGTTTTATATGAAAAGGTGTGGGTTCTAGCCTTCTAATAGGAGGTAGTACTCTTTTGATTTCTGATATATTTGAAATAAGAGACTAAAGATTATGTTTAAAGTATGCGCACAAATCTCTGGTGCATACCAACATTTGGCCATACTTACTTGCTAAGCTACAGGTGTGGCCTTTACGGTTGAGAATTCAACCCTTTAGGAGAGGAAGTATCGGAGTAGTGTCACACTTAAGTTTGTTATTTTGGTTCAAATTTATGAAGAAAGTTTATTTAATCAAATAAGTATATATGCACTACAATTTACTAAACACTGACAACATGTAGACAAATTATGTAGACAAATATATAATTTGTCCACAATAGCCTAAGTGATGTGTTTTTTTTTTTTTTTTTAATAATGATAAACTTTCAACAACATTCTAACTCTATGTAACTTCCGACATTACATTACATGTATTCTTAATATCAAACTCAATTCATGTTAAAGTTAGATGTGAAATTAGTTACTAAACCGGCGCAATGGTTTGAATCTCTCTTCACAAGAGCCGAGAAGAATGAGGGTAATGGAAAATACAAGCATACTCTTATGAACAAAAATATATATTTTTCTAATTAATAAGAAATGTCGCATTAACATAAAGTAAAAAAAAAAAAAAAAAAAAAAAATAGGAAACAAATTAATGATCAAATAAAAACTTCTTTTGTGAAAATCAACATTATACATACAATATCTACTACACGAATGCACACAAATTGTTTCAAAATAGATTGTGTGTCTGAAATATTAGATTGTGTGCATTCGTGTAAAAGATTATGTTCATTTATATACAAATTCATGGGAGAGGGGTCCTAATTAGTACATCACCCAATATAAGAATGTGATTTTGGCAAGCAAATAAGGCTTTAGCTTATGCTTACCACTCCATTTAAGAATTAAGAGATGCGCAAGGGTGGCAAGGGGCCTACAAATGACAAATCTCAATTCTCAAGTGTATGCTGAAACCCAAATCGTGTGGCTTACAATCCAATCCATTATTTACACTCGGAGTCGGAGGGGTCCCCAGTTTTGGGGATAACTATCATCACTTGAATAACAACTCATACTAAAAACTAAAACTACAACTTTCAATCCAACGCAATCGTATTACTAAATATATCCATGTATAATGTATTGTCCGCTACATTTTCCTCTTTGCCAAGCAACTCTCTGCCCTCAACATTTTTTTGTAATTACAACAGCACAGGCAAAATTGTTTCATAAAATTTACAACCTATATATATTCTGGAAGCTATTTACAGATTAATAGAATGAAAGAAATTAAGAAACATCACATCTATTTTCAATTTCCGTCTCTGCAAAATGTTCCTTAGATTGTGATTACTTGTCAGCTACTCGGTTTGCATTTCCAGTTTTCAGTCAGTCAGTCAATTAACGCTTAACAATCTTCTCCTTGCCTGGGAAGTGGGAAGAGAACAAGTTTATGGGGATGCATCAGACACAAACCAATAATAAACTACATATATCAGAAATCAGAAGAAGCACGACTGGCTTACCAAATATATTTGATTTCAGGGGGAACCTTATTGCTGATCCCTTCACTTTTATGTCCCTCAACTGTCTGTTCCTGCTTGGTTTTTCCACTTTCGATGAGCTTTCTCCTGTTTGGAATTCTATCCTTTTGTTTACCTTTTCGTGGTAAAGAGCAGGCGGTGCTAGCCTCAACTTAGGCATTTGTTCTACATGTGCCGGCCTTTGCTCTTTCTGAAGATGACTCAACAGCTCAAACTGTTACACCCAAGGTTAATCTTGTGAGTGCTTACTCTCAGTACATTAGCAACACAGGGGAGAGAGAGAGAGAGGGGAAGCAAGGTAATAGAAGCAACAGAAGATAAACATAATTTAAAGAGTACCCACCCTTGAAACAGGGTGGTGTCCGAAGGAGATGTCAAGAAAATCATTATCATGTAGATGTAAAGCATTTGCGTGCCCGTGTCCTTGCTGAGATTTCGAAGTCTTGCTCACTAATCCATTCTCTGATGACATGGATTTGCTTCTTGACCTCTGAGAATTCTTTCTAGGCATACAAATTGGACATCCAACCGATGAACCTTTCGAGGACGTACCATTTTCTGGAAGTTCACAGTGCAGATGCATTGCATGACCACAACTGAAAATTTGAATACTAGAACTTCTGGATAGAAGGCAATTGCAAACACAACATGTAAGGCTCCGAGGGGCATAACCATGAGAAGCCCCCCTCTTGAGTAAGCTCATGGTATAGTATGTATCATCCTCAATCAAGGATTTGGCAGTGTCCTGAAATAGCAATGCCAACTACTCAGTCTGAAGCATTCGGAGCATTTCCAAGAATGAAATTATCTAAACTAGTTATTTGTTTGAAATAGAAGATATCACTGATAAATAGACCAGGTAATTTATTAATGCAACTATGAGACAGAACTTAACCACTCTTCGCCAGTTTTTTGGGGCACAATGGTTGCTGGTCTTTAGTTAAGATTGCAGTGTGATGTAATTGAATAATTGGAGGGACAAAATGACAAAATCAGACAAGGAGACTAACCAAAATTCTTCTTTCAAAATCGTAGGTTCCAAGCATCCCCATGATGGTAAGTTTAAAATCTCCAAATTCCTGGCTACCATTTTCAGAAAGCAGTTTTAACATGATTGTTGGTAAGCGAACATATCCAATCATTCCCTCAACAATCTCTTTAATAAAGAATGAGAGCAATCTCCTAAGAACTTCAGCATTCGGATGGGACTTTGAGACTTTCCACTTGATTCTGCAAGCCCCTTCATCCTTTAGATTTCCCATTGAATTGACTGAAATTCCAACACTCTTATCTCCCTCATATTCCACTTTATCATTAAATGAATCTATTAAAGGTTCACAAAACCTGTAAAAAAGCTAATGTATTTGTTACCTTTTAAAATGAAAAAGTAAACAAGAGTAATAAAGAAATAAGTTTGTCTAATGATAAATTGGTCAATGAACAATTCTGAGATTGAAGACCAAAATTCTATTTCCAACTTAGGATAAAAGTCATCAAATTGGAAGCATAAAAAATGAAATTGATATAAGGCTAGTTTAAGTGCTCTTACTAATTACTATTTGAAAAGGGGAGTTTCAGCTAGTCTGCAAGAAAAAGAAGTTTTTAATCTCAACCCCAAGAGTAACCAAGAGTTGGGCTCCATGGGCAATAGTCCAATCAGTGTGCTAGTCACTTGAAAATGTGTTCAAAAAATATTAAAAGCTAATATACAGCATCCCAAAATATACCATACATCTAGAAAGCAAGACCCACCAAATGTGAACTCAGGAAACTGGTTCATGCAATCATGTTTCAAATACTCCAAACATTGCGTCCTATATTTTTATTTTTGTAACCTTATTTGTTATTTGATGTGTGTTCAACACAACGATACACATTTACAGCTCAAAGACATGAATGTCCTCTTATCCAGGCATAAGCAGGACACCAATTTAAGTCTTAAACAAATTCATAAATTGTTGAACTCTTAATGACCTAATAAATTAGCTATCTTTATTATGTACATATTAAGGCTATAATTCTCTTTTGTATTCCATATAACTTTTGTTAAAAGTGATGACTTACGAATCAAGCAACTCGAACCAAAGGCATTCAGACTCGTAAGGATCAAGCCTGGGGCTATTCCGCTGGCACAGCGAGATAGAGCAGTGCACCATTTCGAGTATGTCATTGACCTGTCACAAATTATGCAAATCAAGTATAGAGAACAATCATGACAAACCTAAATATAGCAACAGAAAAAAGGATGTCTGAGAGAAAGTAGACCTCTTTTGTCTCTAAAAGATTATTAAAATGCTTCAAACAAGCACCACAAAGCTCCTTCTCAATGGATGCATCAAGTAGAATGAACTTATCATTAAGGGTAGAAAGTAACAGGGAAAGTGCACTTCCAACGTCGCCAACCCTTTCATACAAGAAAGCGGCTGCATCTGTAATGCCATGTTCCAGGCACAAGCGTAAACAGTGTTCCACCCTATAACTTTCAAGACTCTCCAAGAATTTGCAAACTGAGTTACGTTCATACTGACACAAAAGCTGCAAAAAATTTTGCACCAATGACGAATTAGATTACTTTTTTTTTTGGTTGAGAAGATATTCATTAAGAGGCACAAAGAGATAAGACTAAATTACTTTTAAGAGATTTTTTAACATCCACAGAAATCAAGTAAGAAGAACAGAGATTATTCAGCTCAATGAGTTGAACTTGAATTTTTTGTGAGAGCACTAATGAAAAAAAAAAACATTGTAAAATGGGTAGACAAATGATAGATCATTTAAGGCAAAGATCTGCAGCATGGATGGTGTTGGTGTTGCAGAAGCTTGCAAAGTGCTGCAGGAAAACATAAGTGAAGGAGACAACAATCTTACCAAGGCAAAATCTATTTGTTCTATTCAATAATCCTAACATGTTTCCTCATTCAGATCAGGTTGATTGATATATGTTACCAAAAGGAGCACTTTCTGAGAATATTTATCATTAAAAGTATCCAGGCACTCATAGAACAGATAACAAATTGTCCTTGATTAAGAAATTACAAAAGACAACAAAATGCCTTGATTAAGAAAGAAAGCCTAAGTGAATGACAGCAGAATAATTAAGAAATCACCTCAAGATATAACTCCATCATTTC